CTCTGCGGAAATGGCAGAGAATTAACTCAGTACATGAAGACCTATGCATGAAAACCCAATGTCCTACCTCTGTTGAAGCCTCAAACACCATGCCTCTTTGATGATTATAATCTATATAATAATCCTTACGTTTGGTGAAGCACCTTTTGTGTCAGGACGGCGCCTCAAAGTGCTTCCAAGGGCTTACTGTGAAGTGATTGTATTCTTGTAGGCAAATGCGGCAGCCCAATTGCACTAGGAGGAAACTAGAAGAAACTCCTTTCTCTGCAAATGATAGGCTGTTAATTTAGCACATCATGAGCTGGTGGAACGTTTTAGATTTGGTTTCTTGTTGAAGATTTCATGTCCAGATAAGACTATTTACTCAAATAAAATGAATACAGCAAGGTACTAAAGGGGGAAATGAATTCATGTAACAGGATATCCTTAGAATAAGGATTAAAAAGTTTGGGTGATGTAATGGTTTGTAGCGTTGAATGTAACCTGTAACTCAATCTAGTACTTGTTACTTTGAGGGTTACCTGGAAGAGCTAAAGTTTGCTTAACTAATGTGGTTTTGTTCAGAATTTTTATCAAATAGGACATGGAGCAACAGTAGCTTCCAAAATCTGAATGTCCTTTTTCTGTATCTAAATGAAATATGTGTATTTTAGGCCTCGAGAAGAAATCATAATAATAATCCTTGCATTTGATATAGAGCCTTATCATATCTTCGAGACATCTCAAAGTACTTCACAGACTGTAAAGTGAATTGACTGTATATTTTGTGGGCGAAACACGGCAGCCAATTGCGCATTGCAGTGTCCCACAAACGATTGTGGATTAATTGAAGGAATTATTGCCCTCGGTAAAGCGATCCGCCAATCGACTGACAACCTGCTTACTGCTAGGTAAACAGGGGCATGTGGAGTAAGGAAAGTTACTAAGTTGATAAATCATCCTTTAAGACTAGAATCCTGAGTACCAGTTTACAAACTGATGGCAAAGCTAGGCCACTGTAATGTGAGGAGGCAGCATCGCAACTTAATGGATTCGCCAAATGCATATCATAGATTCATACAGCACAGAAGGAGGCCATTCAGCCCATTGTGCCTTTACCAGCTATCCACCTAGTCCCACTCCCCCGCTCTTATCGAATAACATTTTAGATTGATTGTGTGCAACTGCTTTAAATTGATAAATCGCATATTTCTCTTGGATGCAGCAACATGTTAAACCAAGCCACCATTAATGTTTTTGATTCCGATCGGCAAAAACAAGAGCATGCTTCGGGAAAGTGCCTTTGACACGAGTTCTTTGTGAGGCACATTAAGAGGTTTCCGTCACCATATCAAATGCAAGGATTATTATTTTTTTAGGTCATCCACTCAGTTTCTATTGTTCCACCTATTCTCTGGAAAGGATTACTTTGTGCTTCTACAATGGAATGCTGCTGACGTTTTTGTCTAGGGGGTGGATGTGTTTTTTTGTAGTAATGCTAGATGTTCCTTGATTGCAGTTGTTCTTGGAACACTCATCTGTGAGCTCCACAGTGTTTGGAGTGGAAGAGCTATTTGTTTGGATAATTTGATTGATCAAAATGTTCACATCTGGCTGGTTTGGGGAAAGAAGCTTGTGGAATTCTGAATATGTTTGCACGAGGAATAAAATCTCTTTCTTATTTAAGTTATGTCTTCGAAAAAGGAAATGGCAAACCGTTAAACTCATAGTCTGTGGGAGGAAGTTATCATCCAATCGGAATATATGGAATCACCTCTTGTGTCACACTGTCTCACAGAGTTTTGGCCGCTACCCAAAAGAGTTTAGAGCTTAAAGACGAGCAGCAGAGTGGCCACTTGTATAGTTCAAAAGAGCAGTCTATCACTGTCCATCACCAGTGGGTGCTGATGCAAATCTCCACAGCACAGCTCTGTCAGGGAGGAAGCAATTTACAGCCTAGATATTATGCTTCACTCCAGAGAGCCAGAGGAAAAATTCAGTGCACGGGCTGATGGCAAGGAACCGTTTTTTTTGTGTTCTGGTATTGGTCACATAAATGGATGTTTCTTCACGAGGGGTTGAGATTATACAAGATGGAATTTGATGTTGAGGTTCAGTGGAATTTTGATGGCAAATTTGTTTAAAACAAGAGAAAGCTCTTCTATTTTTGGAAGTGGAAGTCTGGCATTTGGAAGTGTTCTGTGCCAAATGCTTTGTTTCATCTAACTTTGGCAATATACTTATTAAGGCATAGGGGACACGGGGATGTCTGAAAGTGCTTCACAGGATTTACTGCAAACTGTAGTGACTGTATTGTAGGCTAACCATGCTGCCAATTTTGGCGTAATGAATGTTGTAATTTCAAACAAAATGCATGTGTGTAATGTTGCTTGTGGTGTTGGATACAGGATATCCATATCTGATTTTGGCTGGAAAGTTGCTGAAGCACTTCTGCATTGCGGAATGGACACTGGAGCACTGTTGACTCTGCTTCCTGTTGGCTTTCATTCTGTCCAAAAGAATATTGCAGACAGTGGGATGGTGGGGAATGTGAATAGAGATCCACGTATGAGGATCCAAGACAGATGCATCATCTAGGTTTATGGAATTGAGTGCAGTTTAAAATTCTTGAATTTCTTTGCCTTAAGCCTTTTCTGTTTTGCTTTTGAAGAAATTGTTAGATGTTCCTAGAGTCAGCACAGCCCTTGTTCATTAATGGATACGGTGGTCATTGAAGCTTAGTTAGAGTTCAATCTATGTGTCCAACATTGGGGAAGCTTGTTTTTGAATATGGCGATTTCCGAATGACCACACCATGTTCTCTTATTCGTACAGAATGTTCGCATCATGCTTGATCAAAGGCCAATGATTCATTAAAATACAGTCGATCCATTTTACAGGATATCCTGCGAAGCGCTTTGAGAAGTCTCAATCACTTGATAAGGTACTATATCAAATGCAAGGACTTCATTGCCAAAGGAAGTGATTTGGTGTTATGCAATTTCAGTTTACGTTTTATTGAAATTGCTCTCACAGCTCAACGCAGCACGTGCATGATCAGTCGAATTTCATTGGATAAATGTAGTATGAAAGCGTCTTTTATTGTTGAGGCTAGTTCTGTGAAAGAGATCTTGCAATGTAAACCGGGTGAATTCCACTGCCTTGGGATATTGCATTCCAGGAACAGCTGTGCAGTACTGTGGCATTAGCAAGCTTTGCTTTTCACCTGAACACCCATCTTCTGTTGTCCAATTGTAAGGCATGGTTGGAAAACGTCAATGTTGGGTAGCAAAGGCAAGTCTGCAGAGAAGCTAACGCTGTATTAGATGAAGTTTACGAAGTTCACTTTGTAAAAACAACTATGAGTAAAAACGTTGGGTGGCGATAACATACTGGTTATTTAGAATCCATTTCTGTGTGGAGTTTGAATAAATGGGGATACTGTGGATTATCTGCCGCTGATGTCCCTTTCATTCTCTTGAATGTAGTTCAGTTGTCGCGTATGAAGCTCGCTGTTGCTGCCAATCATGGTGTCAATGCCCTTGTCGTAATGCATGTACTTGGTCTCTTTCTATAACTGCTACCATCATTACAATCTGATGTGAATCCAGATTTAGGTCAAGGTGCGATTATTTGATGTGTATAGCTATTGTAGTAATGGAAGAATCTTAAAGGGATAGTGTTCTGTGAGAAATGCCCCTCCTCTTCTTTTTCTCTCCTCACTCCATCTCCTTACTCCTGTGCCATTTTGGGTGACTGCCAGCCATTGGTAGAAGTTAAACTACATCAAAGAATGAGGAAAGACCTTATCAGAGGTAAATCATTTAACATTCATGAAAGACTGGAGATCATTCTGGACTCTCACCAGTCTGCCACAAGCTTTTTATTCCATGTGTACTTCTCATTAAATCGGATGCTGATGAACTTTAAATCTGGCTAATATATTTTCGGAGTGTGATGAGCGAAGAATTGAGAGAACTGGCAATACTTCTTCAGCTGTACAAATATTCATCTTTTATTATCCCTGCAGAATGTTTGCCTATCTTATCAACAGCAAAACTATATACCCCATTGAATTTGGGAGTACGGTTGAAGAACAGAGTTTCAAGTTGCTTACTCATCAGAATAAAGCGTAGACTCTGCTAACATTTGCTCAGTTTCATGGTTACAAACTGGACCGGTGTGCACACAGTATATTTTGCACAGATTTTCTTATGTAAATAAACTGGAGATGTGTTCAGTGAACTGATGCTTCACTTTATAGATTGCTGCAGAACTGGTCCTCCCGACGTGAAAGGCGCTCTATAAATGGAATCTTGTTGTTGTTGTTCTCATTTAGCTCGAGGCTGCTGGTATCCGTGTTGGATTGCTGGGGTGAAAATACAGAAATGGGTGCCACAGGAATGGTTGTGCATGTCCACTGACTTTCCCCAATCTGCAGCAACAAACTGGACATTAACATGTCTGCTGGGTTGAGGCAGAGAAGATGGCCATTCAGTTGACATTAACAACAACAAGATTACATTTGTTTAGCGCCTTTCACGTCAGGAGGGTGTCCCAAGGCGCTGGACAGAGTACAGCATTTCAGGTTGGGGTTGGGAGGTAAGGGAGGGGAAGGGGGTGGCCGATGGCATGGTCGAAGAGGAGGGTCTTGAGGCGGGACTTGAAGGAGGCTAAGGAGGGGGTGAGGTGGAGTGACTGGGGAATGGAATTCCAGAGGTTGGGGATATTAAGATCCAACTCTGCAGGCAGGTCAGGGTTAGCACAGCTCTGAAGAATCCCATCTTTTGGCAGTTGGATCTGTTGGCAAGAGTAATTAGCTGTGGGTTACTGGGTTCAGGACTTGTAGTGCCATTGGGAACCTTCTAAGTATACAACCCCAATGTTTCCCAATTGCTTGAGATCTTTTGTAATGTACTAATGCAGGACCTGACTTTGCTTTCATATTGTGCTGAGTATCTCTACTGAGGTGAATTATTTTTAATGCAACTGCTGAACTCCTTTCTGTCCTGTCGTTTCAGTAACCCTCCACTCAGTGAGGAGATGCTTCCTCCTGGGGACTGGATGTGTCATCGGTGCACAGTTCGTAGAAAGGTAATTACAGTTACATTCCTTTGAGTGGGTGGGAGGAACGGACAATTTGTGTGGGTGAATATTCCCAAATTTTCTTTCCTGAAAGTAGCAATTTGTGCTGAATGCTGTTCCGTGTTAGGTACCCTCTAGGATCTCACCTAAGTGGGTATTTTTCACGTTGAGGCTAGAAATTTCCTCTGGGGTTCAACTCACACCAAGTGGAGGTTTGGCAATGTTACCCACAGGAAAGGGGTGGGATGGGAATGTGAAAGGAATCTCCAAGATTGGTCTTGCACGCCTAGCAGCTTAGGAGTCAAGTTGAACTCGAGTACAGAAATTAAGAACTTCATCTGGGGATGATTTGAATCTCGTACACGGAAGTGTCTGCTTGTCACAGAGCCCATTGTCCTTGGAACGTGCGATGTCCTCGCTACTTTTGAGCAACTGCCTGAAACTGAATGAGCATTAGCATTTGCTGGATTGTGTAAAACTTTGTAGATTTAAGCTTCCAAACGGACACTGATTTTCTTTGGAGTCTTCGCATCTGCTCGCATTGAAGCAAATGATTGAGCAAAATCCACTAGGAAATCTAATTTCAGATGGTGCAAGGATATTCATGTTCTGCCCCATAATTGGCAAATGGAACTTGTAAATTATTTTAAGTCCGATTTGACAATTTCCAGCAGGGAAATTGTTCGTAATGAACTTTGTTTAGCGTTTTTTAAAATTCTGTTAAGTCTTTGGGGATGGGTACATGTAGAGGTGCTGAAATTCAGTGTCAAGTGATGGGGACAAGCTGAACAGTACAAGGCGCTGCCAACGTAATTTCCTCCCTTCCCCAATTGCATCCTTAAATATTGGGTGCAGGGTGCTACAGCAATGCAGGTTGTTGTTGTTGTAAGTGTCCCTTTCTCATTGAAAATCGGATTTATTATGAGTCAATGATGATTAATTTGTGGTTTTCTAATCTTTGACTTTGACAAGTTGGCTGAACATTTAGATTTTAAACTTTTTTTCACATCTCACAAGCATGTTTCTCATTCTTCTTCCACTTGCTGACTTTGATTACTAATTCATGTGTTATACTTTCTCCCCCCCACCCCCCACTACTCCCACCCTTATTGCAGAAACAAGAGAAGAAAGAAAAACTAGGCCAAGTAAATGGGGTTATGGACAAACAGGCAGTTAAAAGGACAGTATCTCCTACTGTGGACTTGGAGTTCCAGGACAAAACCCACAGCAAAAGCTTGGATTCCCGGTTGGAAAGTAACTGTAGATCACTAACGCAAGCAAAGAACTTGGAAAGGCGAGCCAGCCGGCCAGGCACACCGACGTCAAACGCGAGCACTGACACGCCTACGTCTGAGCAGAACGAGCTGGACGAGGACCTGATCGACGTGGACGATGACTGTGTTACCATGGAGATGGACTGCTCATATTCGCAAATAAAGAATCCGTTTGAAATGCTCATAGCAGCGGCATTGGAGAGAAATCCAACCCAGTTTCAACTTCCAAATGAACTGACATGTACTACAGCACTTCCAGGTGAGGGGAGGATCTGTGTAGCTACTTGTAATACAAGGTTTATGGTTGCTCAGAGAGCAACAACCGTTCAACACCAGTGTGTTGCAGTCTTTCATGACATTCAAAGGCAATCTTCGAATCTGATGATGAATAATCCTTGCATTTGATATAGTGCAATATACTCCTTGTGCAATAAAATGCATTGACTCTGCATTTTTTTGCAGCTGCAGCGTTTAAGGACCAGATTCATGCGGAAAGTATGTTGGGCTAGAACACAAACCACAATGTCATTTGTAATTTGTAGTTTCTTGTTCACCATTCATGACTCTTTTTAAAGACCCTGTGCAAAGAAAGGCTGTTTATATTATCTGGTTTGTTGGTTACTTAACTTGCACTGAGCAACTTTAGTATAGTACAGTTGTAACTTTTCACAATGAACCAATACGTTTAGTCAGCAGTTGTCAAAGGAAACAGACTACGGTACAAATTACTTGACACTGAATTTCAGCACCTATAAGTGTTGGTATTGGGTCAAGCTAAAGGCCCAGAAAAAAAAGTGGGTTTTAAAATAGGTATAGTATAATGTAGTAAAGATACTGTGAAAGTCTTGATAATTGCTAAAGCTGTGTAAAGCAGATGATACTAGGTATTGAGAGTCACATCAGAATGGGCTTTGTGCCAGGATATTATTGTTGATTTTCAGGTTTATTCAGTTTCCAGGTTGAACATAAAAGCGACAGTCTACCTCCTGAGGTGCCTGTGGTTATACTTAAGACAATCTATTGCCACCCACCTAAGTCAGATACCGGTGGCTTTCAGTTGCTTTAATTATTGTTCAGGTGGCAGTTACTGTAGTAAAGAGTTGAAGAATGTTCAGGAGTACACAGCATTAGAAAACTGCTTCTTAATGGCATTGAAGTGTCCAGCATTATTGCACTTTGGGAAACACTGCCATTCCCATCACTTATGAAGGGAGGTAAATGAATAGATTGCGAGAACCTTTTGTGTATGCCCTTTGTATCAGTGCGAATGCCCAAACCGGCACAGAAGTGGACTGAGGCTATTTGTTTGCAGTGTGCTCTGTAAAAGTTTTGTTCACGTTAATGACGGGTGTTTGAAATTATACTCCACAAAATAATATGGTGCTGTTCTTTGTGCCGTAACACAATCAGTAAATTTAGTGGTAATTGTTTTGTACTTAAATACGAGGACAGATTTTGGATATGTACAGAAAAAGAAAATTTCCACCAGGAAATTATAACTTGGGTAAAGTAATTATTTTAAATTAATTTTTGTTAGAATTTGACTCATTGTAGAAATATATTTTCAATGAAATGTGAAATGTTTTCTGAAATCTACTGCTGGCACAAAGAATGACCATTTATCTACAAATGCCTGGAAATTGCACCAATTGATGATCTAACCCCTCTTTCATAGCGTGTGGAAATTCACTTGCTCTTTCGCTCCTAACTATTGCTCTGTCTTGCTCCCATTCACTCATTCTCTCCCTCTTTCTCTTGGAGTGTCTTTCTCTTTGACCTTATTCTATATTTGAAGGGACCCTCTCTCTTTCCCCCACCCCTCCCCACCCCTCACACCCATCTACAGTTTGTCCAAAGAAAAGAAAATCTCCCCTCAACAATTTGGGGACTAGACAGCAAAGCGGGCAGATTACTATGTACGCATCTCTGTATTATGCATCGAGACTGATTGAATTGCCTTCTTTGGATTCAGATGCTTTCATGCATTTTTAGCAAGAACAGTCCAATTCATCTGCATCTTTTGAAATTGTTAATACTGGAAACATTGTGCGTTTGCACTGGTCTCTGATCCAGGATTGTCACTTACATAATTATGAAAATCTTACTTTATTTGAGAAATGAGATCGATTATACATCATTCCTTTTTGAAAAGGGGTATATAACAGGCAGCTATGTGCTAACCAAAACTGAGCTGATAGAGTAAAATACATGCCACAGGACAAGAAATCTGGGTCAGTTACTGAAACTTTCTTTTCCCACAGTTTTCTCTGGTTCTTCTCCCCCTCCACCCCTCTTCTGAAGGTAGCAATTAATTACAAAGGTACAGGTGCCTGCAACCCTCCAGTCCCAAATAGCAATTCCCAATGGATGAACCTGGCAAGTGCTTCTCAGTGGGTTTCTTGATTACGTAGACTGCCATGCCCAACTCCGATCCTGCCCATTCACGCACATGGCAGTAGTGTCGTCAGATAGTGATCAAGCACTGTTGATAGTAGTCATGGAGAAGTCTTACTGAGACACTCTGTTTGTTTCGCCCACAAAATACACAGTCAATCCACTTTACAGTTAACTGCTTTGAGACTTCTCAATGACGTGACAAGGTGCTATATCAAATGCAAGGAAGGATTATGTGGCAGCAAGAGCATTTTTAATTGGACGGTGGGGACTAAACATACAAGTTTCACTGAAATTGTTATGAAACTTTGTCGGATTAAATGGTGCACAATACAGCATAACATGGATGGATATAAAATACTTAATGTAAAAAGTTGGTCAGTGGCGTGAGCTTTCACTTCCACTCTGGCAAAGTTCTAGCTGCAGAAACCATCAGTCTTGGATCACTTGTTGTTCCAAAGGCAGCAGAAAGTGCCAACTGGGGAAGCAGGAGACACATGCCCCGCAAAGCCAGGTCCTCAGATTTGACCAAAGGTTCTCCACTCGCGGGGTTGCTAATTTAAGTCTGGGGAGCTGGCCTGGATCCTGATGGAGTAATTCTTCAGAACCATGGAAGAATTTATGGTTCCATCTGCTTGCCATATAACCTGGAGGTTCATGGCATGGCAAGGGGAAAGTTAAAGGGTGGGCAACGCAGCAAGATGGAATGGGCACGTAAATCAGAACCAATCTTTGGTGCAGCTAATGACGCACACTGTATCATGCAGGTACCAGTAAAAGGAGAAGAAAAGAGGAAACGACAGGGAAGAATGTGAAGAGGGCACAGCATGAACTAGACCACAATGGCCTAGTCCCATTGCCCGTCCGAGTTTGCTTCATTTGCAACAGGTGGGCATTTAACTTTTTTTTTCTTGCATTACAAACTGCTCCGTTCCCTAGCTACGAACTTTTCCGCTAACGGCGAATATGCGTACGGCAACCAGAAATCCTCTCCGAAGTGACGAGCTCACTCGGGCATTCGATCTTTTGCACGTTTGAAAATGTTTAGTCAATTTAAAAAGTCGTATGTAAATTTGCCGAGATTCTTTTGTTAGGTTTGAACAATGTGGATGTGGTGCATCTGCAAAACGAGACAGGCCACCTGTTGAGGAATGTATGTCAACTCGTTGTTTCTCAGGAAACCGTTGTATGACTGGAACTATACAGCTGACTGTGGTCTTTCTGGCTGGCAGGCCGATGCAGTTTGTGCCCCTCTCTTCATGTGAGCTGAGAGCCATGGGGGTGCTGTTTTGCACCACTAGGAGCTGCAATTGAGCAGGAGCACTGATTCAAGCATCTGCTTTTTATATCTGTAAGGTTTATCCCTGCTCTCTCTTGCGCGTGCTCTCTCTCTCCCCCCTCCTTCCCTCCCTCCAGCTGTGCAGCTTTCACTCAGTGCATGTCTGCCAACAGTTTGGGAGCTCATTGTCTGCAAAGCTGTGGGGGCAGAAACTGTACTGCCAACTTTGCAGAATGTTGGTGAAGCACCAGCATACAGTGTGGGGCTGTTTCAATGGTGGCGATGTTCGCTGATTGATGGTCATTGCTAACTTATTTCTTTGGATTTAGAAACTTACTTAAAATAAGTGATAAATAGCTCCTTGAGAAAACTGAAGCTGCTCAGTTCAGCAGTTATGCCCAAAGGACCGTATTGTATTTCCTTATAAGTGGGGGAACTGTAGCTTTGTCCACCAGCAGAAGTGTCAAGACACCTAAAGTAACTTCTACAATATGCTAACTTTTCAATCTGTGACTGATCTTTTTCTTCTGGGATCATAGAATGTTTCCAGTACTTTTGCCTGCAAAATAGTCTTTACAGTATACTATAATACAGTATATTATACACTTTACAGTATATCCTGTGAAGTGCTTTGAGATGTGAAAGTCGCTTTATCAAATAAACGCATCTCAAGAATGAAAGGTTAATAACCATGTCATGGCTAAAGTGATTGTGTTGAACTTTACGTCAGAAACTTGATCAGATAAGACAAAAAAATTACCTTTTGACTCATATCTCAATCCCGCCTTCACTTTTAGAATGTGTCCCCCATCTCCAAAATTGAAATAAAACTGAGATGTTTGATCAACTGGTGATTTTAGGGAGGTGGGTGGTTGTAACAGAAGAGATAAAGCACATAGGTTAGAAAAGAATAGGATAGAATCAGTGAAATATTTGATTTTAAGTTCATCTCGTAGTGTTATGGGGCTAAAATTACAATAATAGACCGTTGTATTCCAGGATGAGAGTTAATTTTGGCGTCAAGGTGTGCAAACTGAGTACAGGCTGTGCAGGAAGTCTGCAATTGCCCCAGAGCTTCTCTCAGTCTAGGGATTAAGAAACAAAAAGGAAAATAACTTGCTTCAAATTTCGGCAGCTGGCTCCTTTTACAAACACCAGTTTCAACAGAGCTGCTTGTCTAGCCAGGCATCGGTGAACTTTGATCTGCCGAGTTATTACATCATGGCTTTGTGCTGTATAGCCATAGATTCTGAACCATCTGCCTTTTTAATGTGTTTTCTCTCTTTCTCTCCCCAACCACCAACACCACTGCCCCAGCTAATTCAGCATTTACCAGAGATTAAATTTAGGATGTTCTAGGTCTGTCTGCCTCCTTTTCACACCACACTTGTTCGTTTCCAAAGGAACCTCTTTGGATCAACATCTTAAAGAGTAAAAGTTAGTATAAGAAAGGTTCACAGTATGCACATTTGTAAATAGTGCTCTCTGGAACCTATAAAAGGCAAGCAGTTATCTGTAGGAATTAACTGTAAGATGTGAATCTTTTATGTGTTACTGGCTTTTAATGTTTTGTGAGGAATCTGTAGTTGAAGGGCTTTTCGTAGAACCTAGATAGGAGATGTCTGTCTGTAAGGAAATATGTCGTGGGTCGCTGCTGACAGCAACCAAGGCAATCCAAATGGAGCACATTTGTGGTCCAACGTTGGTGGGAGTGGTGTTGGTACTGCTTCCAGGCTGAAACTTTTTTGTTTGAAAATGAATCTCCACAGTACTATGAACTCCACTTAACAGGAAAGATTAGCATGTTTCAACTCTTGCGAAGACTGAGCTTCTTCTTTGTGCCGTTCTTAAATCTAAGTAGGAGATACCACTTCTTCTTGTCTCTTTTGATGACTGCGCTCTTACGAATTGACATTCAGCCTTTGTATTTCCTCTGATCTCCAATGGGATTTACTAATACGTCATCCTCATATTCTTCCTTGTTATATTGAAATCAGACCTCAATGCTTTGTTCTGCTCTCACTCATTCCTAAAATACCTCAACTAGTGTTCATTATTCTGAGAGAAATATCTTAATTGTTTCTCAGTTCCTCAATTTTTTTTAACTCAACATTTTGTCATGAATTCTGCAGTCTGCATAATCAAGATCTCTTATTTTAGTGGGAAAATGGCTATCAAATTGTTCAATTGTTTACCCCAAATCATCTTTCTTTTATTCAAATTGACATGCTAGTTTTGTCCTTCACTGTACAGTGTTAACCTCAGTGAATTTCATTCGACTCGCTGTGCTTACAGCATTTTGTATACCAGTAAGCTTTTAATTTATTTTGACAAACTATTATGTGATTTCCTCGCATCTGCCCTTTAAGGTGGTTTTGTCTTTGGTTCCTTTTCACTGGACTTGTTGTTTAATGAGATATAATTGTGTTATTTTTGAAATTGGATTGGCACATCATTGAAGCCACACTTCAATATTAAAGCAGCTTTTCCTCAGTCCCAACAAATCAAACAATGGTTTTAAAATGGTGCAGTATCTCATTTTCTATTATCTTCCTTCCACAAGCCTCGCATTTCATAACGCCAATGGTCATCTTTCTTCTCTTTCTCAGGAATTGGGGCGCCAGGAATACTTAATGGCAAAGGCTCCCTCCCTTTCCTTCCTCTGTCTATGAACAAATAGATTGAGGTTGAGATTGATATACTAGTCTCCATTTCACTGTGCTCTTATTAAAAGTTGTACCGCATTTACTGCATTGATTGCAAAAATTTTAGTTCATGATGTCTTTGCAAGAACTTTGAACTGCTAAGACAGAATACTTAGGAATTAGAGGATCTGCGTTAGTTTGCTTTTCAACACGTTCCAAAGGAGATTTTAATCTTAAACTCTAGCGCTTTCCTCGTTCAACTCTTATCCATGTGGGTAACGCAACTGGGACCTAAAAATCGACGACAGTGCTGTCGAGACTTGTTCCCCATTCTTTGACTGGAGGTACTTTGAGAGCCTTTCCTATACCCTTTAAATGGGCAACATCAATTCTTCCACTTTTCTCTCATTGTTTTCTCTGTTTTCGTTGCCATTTCATTGCCAAAAGATTGTCTTTGAAAATCGAGAGAAAAGTGAAGGAGGGGAGTGAGTGAATCTGCACCAGGTTCTTGTCACACCCAAAGATAGTACAGGCTCCAGTTTCCTCTGTCTGAACTTGCCCAGGGGCACCAAGTCATTGCTTGTTCGACAATGGAGAGCAGAAAAGCTTGCAGGTGCCAGGTTTAGTGTGTGACCAGATGTCAAGAGTATGCAATTCGTCCTGCATTTAAATGTCTGATATTTCAGATATAACCCGCAATTAGCACTGAGATAACACTTGCCAGGTAAATAATCTGGCATGGCAGGTCAAGTTAACAAAGCTTGGAAAGATTAGGAAATGATGTAGAAGGGTTGACTAATATTAATGGCTCAGTACCTGTGAGGCAGAGTGTGGCATCTTGTCAGTTGGTGAAAGAGCTTCTATCTGCTTTGGAAGCACATCTCCCTCACATCCAGTTTCATGTGTTCTCTCATGGAACTCAAATTAAAAAAAAGTTCCAAAGCCCTTGACTCACTGAGCAGAGGATTTGTTTATTCCTTTGGTGGTGCGGAGGGGAGGATATCTAAATACAGTGTAGGTCAAAGGGAACGTATGCTTCTATGGGATTGTGTGTGTGTGTGTATGTGGTATGTAGATAACTAATTTGACAAAGGGGCATTCCCCTTTTTTGTTGTTCTTTATGCTCGTGTTCCCCACTCTGTATTCCCTTCCAGTTTGACGGTAACTCAATTTAAAGACGGGTGGCAGTGACCTGATGTTGCCTACGCTTATGTTTGGGTCATGTTCCATCGGTTTGGCAACAAATCTCTCTGCTTTTGTAGGAGTTGCAGAGTAGCACCTCTTGTCCAGTGTGATTACTGCCCGCTATTATTTCACATGGACTGCCTGGATCCACCTCTCACTGCTATGCCGACTGGTAGATGGATGTGCCCCAATCACATTGAACATGTAGTGGTAAGAGATTTATTTACTTATAAATGCAATTGAGCTATTTTAGATTGGTGAACTGAAAGTTGCGCTTATTTACTCCCGTTTTAAAATGACCGCACTGTAAAAAGGCACTGAGGTTTTCTAACATCTCTGGATTGTTTTGGGGGGGGGAGTTTGGGATGGGGAGAGGAGGGAAATTGATTTAATTCACTGCTGAGAACTTCAAATCCCCTTTATTTCACGTGCCTCAACATTCTTTTCCCCATTCACTTTGTATCCTTTTTTTTTTTGCTTCGAGATTCCCAAGATCAGAAGTGCAGTTCAAACAAACTACAGTAAACTCCTTATAACTCGTCACTCCTGGGGAAAAGAGATCAGTGACGAGTTATCCGAAGTGGCGAGTTAGGCATATGTGTGAATACATAAATGACTGCGGCCGGGATATTGACAGCATGATGACTTAAGTGGTAGTGACAAGTTAAGCCTGGGTCGAGTTATCAGGAGTTTACTGTAATCATTTCTAGACGAAATATCTTCAAACCTCTTCCCTCCCCCCCCTTCCTTAAAGACTTGGTGTCATTTCCATTCAGCTTAATCAGAAGAACATGACCTTAAGCAATAGATGCCGGATATTTGACAAGTTCCAAGACCGAGTATCGCAGCACGCAGTTAAGATAGACTTCTTAAACAAGATCCACAGGAAACATCCACCCAATCGCCGAATTGTCAAAAAAGTAAAGAGGAAATATATGAAGGTGAGTAAATTCCACAAATAACAATTTGTCTTTAGTGTTTTTTAAAAAAAGCACACCATGTGATTAGTTTGATAGTGCTAAAATTCAATCTAGAATCCACTATGCAGAAAATATTTGGGATGCCGTTTGTCGTTTTAGAAATAATTGTTGGACTGTTTTGTATATTTCCACCACTAAAGCGTAACCTGAATTGGTTTGCAGGATCTGGTTAACCCACACATGTATTATCTTCATTACCCCAAACCAACTCTATAATCTTCAGTGCCTTACTGCAATAGTCTGCACCAGACTACATGCTATAAATGTATTGCAACTATTCAAACTATTGGAATAAACCATTTCTACTACTTTCTAAAATATACAAGCTCAGTCATGCAAGAGTAGTTGAGACATTCTTGGAATTGCCAACGCTATATTTCTTGTAGGATTTGCTACCTTTGAAGTGCATTTCCCCCCCTGGCCTCTCTTTGTTTTCCCCTGGTGGCGTGCAAGCAACTCAGACCTGCTACCAGGTCTACCAGAAGCTGCTCATAAACTGACTGCTGTGAGCTAAGAGAGTGTGGTTTTGGCCTACGCATGTGCATAACAGCTCGGGGCTGTGAATGATGGTTTGCAAACCTGTATTCTACCACTGTATGGTGCTACAACACAATGCTATCTGCTGAGCTGCTTTCAAACTATATAACGTAATTCCAAAGCCTTTACAGGTATTCTTTGAACTAAAGACTAAAATTAAAACCTTACTGGAGATATTACAGTCAGTTCTGAATAATAATAATAAAAATTCTTACATTTGATGTAGCACAGATTACATCGAACACCTCAGCATTTCGCAAAGTTTCTGTAAAGTGCAGTGCCCGTATTCTTTGTAGGTGAATAGTATGGTTGCTTCGGTAACTATGTACTGTGACAAGATGCGGAACTTGCTGTCGAGGGTACTTCAAATGTCCGTTTTTGATCTTCAGCCTCAGTGCTGTTTTTAGTGGGACCACAAAATGGAAATTTTTTTTTTTTTAAATTATCACAGAACTGGGTTGAATGTTTTCAGGTAGAATTTCTCAGCTGGACTAAAGCAAGCACAGTAAAATGACCCAAGTTCACAGGTGTTTACATAGCTTTACTTTAATTATATCCTTTGAAGCTCAACGTAATCCTTTGCTGATTTCAATGTGTTCTTATTTTAGGTTCCTGAAGCGATTAAAGCCCAGTACCAGTATCCACCCCCTCTCCTTCCCCCGGCAGGAATCCGTGACGGAGAGCTGATATGTAACGAGACTCCTAGTGAGTCGCAAAAGCACCTTTCCAACTATGAGCACTTTGCTACAGAAGGAGAACAACAGGAGGTAATGCAGTGAGACAGACCAGAGGGAGGTCAGAGTTGTGTTTTAATACCACATTTAGCTCACAGAATTGCATGCAACTGAAGCCCTGACTGCGGAGACGGTGGGAGCTGTGGGACTGTTCCTGTGGTTACTTGCATCTCCCAAGGTGGTTCTTCAACCTACCTCCAAAGACACCAGCATCTGGCACAGCAGCCTAAATGAAAGTGCACCCCCCATATCTCTCTCTCTCTCTCTCTCTCTGTTTCTTGACCATCTCTCTCCCCTCACCATTCCATCACTCAATCCACGACTGCTTGCAGGATGCCACTGTGCCCAATCAGCTACCGCGTTTTGCCCGCAAAATACTCAGGTCAATCCACTTCATCGTACATCCTGTGAAGCGCTTTGAGACATTGCGACGACATGCTAAGGCGCTATATCAAATGCAAGGATTACTATGATGGTTATTAAATGCAGCTCTGAGGATGCTCGAATTCAAGATCCTCATCCTCACCTACAAGGCCATTCACGGCCTTGCACCCTCCTACCTCTCCGACCTACTACCCCCCTACGTACCTGTCCGTACCCTCCGTTCCTCTGGCTCCGGTCTGCTCCACATCTGGGATGTCCTCCCGACGTGAAAGGCGCTCTATAAATGCAATCTTGTTGTTGTGGTTGGGTGGAGGGGGCAGGGGAAGAGGGGAGAGAGAAAACGTGGTACACGTTATTTATCTTTTAGTCAATATTTGCAATGGAACAGTGGAGCTTTGATTATCTGTAATATCAAGAGCAATTCTGTCACCCATTGCGTTTTTTTTGTTGAATGCATAGTCCCCTCTCATTGTGTTTTTCTTTACAGAAATAACTATTTCTGTTTTTTTCCCTAGTGGCTCCGCAGTGTTGTCGCACTTCAGTGTAGCATATTCAAACATTTATCTGCTAAGCAGATGCCATTATTTTGGGACAGCGAACAGACCGACAAGGCTGACGTCAAGCCACGTGTCACGGGCCAGTGTTCAGCGGACAACCGTTCGAGCGGCGCACAACCGGCAGCCGGAAGGAAACGGTCGTCCCCGCCCTCTCCCACATCGTGCAACATTACGTGCACCTCAGGGACCAACAGCCAGAACTCTTCTTCAGGTTCCTCTGCATCCCCGCCGTCTGGAGCTGCAATCGCACGGGACGAAACCGCCCGCAGCTTCTATCCAGAGACCCCGTGCAAAGTGTCAAGTAGTGGAACTTCTAACGGACCTTTGTCAGCGGAGGTGAAAGTCAACGGACCTCTCCCGAGCTCCATTTCGTCCGACTGCTCCAGGCCCCTGGCAGACACACTGAGACCAAAGGGACCATTAACACAGGTGCCAAGCCAAGCGGCCGGACAGGGCTGGCTCCATCCTCCGCTGAGACCAGCTACGCCACCCGCAGCCAGTAACCTCCAGAATCATTTTGTGGGCCTCTTGAAGTCAGAGAACACGGAAGCGCCCGCCTCTTGCTTGCAGCGAATGCCAGTTGCAGTGAGCAACGTGGCAGCTGCTCTGTCTAACTTGTGTGCCAGTTCAGAGATCACCAGCTCGCAGCTTAGGAGCAGCACCTCGCTGCAGATTGCTGGCCGGCCAGCCACCTTGATGGCCAAGGTGGTCTCAGGACCCTCCGCTCTCACCAGAGCTATTATTCCCCCCAGAGCCACGGCTGATAGCGTATCAGCAATCTTGGGATCAGCGAGAAACCTACTTTCACCAGCATCTACAGGTGCGTGTTTCACACTCTTGTTCCTCGGATATAAAACTCTGTGTCAGGTGCCGGGTGTTTTAAGTGCACAATTTTCCTGATTAGGCAAGGCCCGAAGAGGAAAGGGCACGTTTGGAAGTTAAAGATCCCTTGACACTTTTTGGAAAGGGAAGCAAGTTTCTTCTTGTGTTTTGGCCAACAATACTCCTCTACCCTCCCCTCTTTTAAAAAAAAAGTAAAATTGGTCATTCATTTCTTATTGTTTTTGGGACATCGCTGTGTCATGTTCATCTACTTACACAGAGTCACTACCCGTGGTGCTCTTGCTGGAAATGTTTAAGCGAAACCACGAAAATAAATAAATCATTTATAGATGCCCCAGCATCCCCTCCCTTTGGTTGGTTGCTTTCTATGTTTCTCTTCCCAGTACATTGTATTGTAATGTAATTTTACTGTTTTCAGGCTTTTTTTTTTGACTCACTTACTCTTACAGCTCTGCACAGCCTTTCAAAGGTGATTTTCATTTGCTCAAAAGTGGCTTTACGGACTGCTTTTGCAACCAATGAATAGGTAGAAAATTGATGGACAGAATCCATCTGTGGGGAGGAATGTGGGAGCCCGCCTTTTCTTTTCCTCTCTCTCTCTCTCTCTTCCCCCCCCCTTCCCCCCCACCGAACTTGTAATCATGTGTGTGCACTCTAGGGATTAAGAAACTTGCTATTGTGATTTTCTCAGTGGCTAAAATACCGTTTGAGAAAATTACTCAGTGGGATTAGCAGTAACGCGCAATCTGTGAACACTATTACTATCACATGCAGGACACGGGACATTCGAGTCCTCCGTCCACCAATTTAGGCTTTGAAGGCAGAACGGTACTTACTTATTACACTTTGAACTTTGGCAACAATACTGCTCGTTGGAGTGGGAGAGACCTTCTCTGAGAAGTCGCAGGAATAGAGAACATTGTCGACGGTTGTCCCATGTTCACTGTAGTTTAGCAATTCATAGTGTTTTGTGTTCTAAAATACAATGAATAATGAGCGTCAATAATTCATACAAAGCAGTTCATGGGCAATTAAAGCACTCCACCATCGATTTCCAATCAGCTATTTGTGCAGGTGAAATACTTTCCCAAATCATGTATATAAAACAGAACATTTCACCCACAAAATGCAGTCACTCCATTTTACTTTCTGTGAAGCGCTTTGAGAAGTCTCAAAGACGTCGACAAGATGCTATATCAAATGCAAGAATTATTATTATTATTATCATTATTATAACATTAGCATTGTGCTACAAGAAGCCACCATTGAAGACTTCACCTCCACATTAAGTATACAACTTGCTTTTAAGCAATTATACATTCCTACCCCATGAATTACAAGGGAGTCAGTCCATTCGGTTAATAGTTAGATTTTCACACCCGTAGTTTTATAGTCTGCACATACACAGTCCACCACACACTCAACTTGGAGCTTCTGGTATCAGGAGACAGATAAGTCAATTTAATACCACTTCTCCCATGCCAGTTAAGTCAGGCACCTAGGACTTCAAGAATACCCCTTTCAAATCTGTTGCCAATTGCCTGATGTAACAGTCTGTGCTATTTCATCCCCACTAACTTGCCAGCACCACGTTTGAATCTGCCACATCCATTTTTTGTGCCAGGTTTATTCAGATTCCTGAAGCTTACCTCATCGTAGAATATGCAAGCGTGTTTGCCTGAAACATAATTGCAATGACCATAATTTGTAAGGCACACATCCATGTCAGCACCTGAGAAGAAAACAAACATGACATTTAGTTCAAATTCAAGATTCATTTCACTTTGTGCTCACCAGATATACAGCAATGGCACAACCTTAAAACATTGCTGCGCTGTTTGGGGGTGGGGGGGAGGATTTAAGTTAAGGGCCAGCTTGGCTCAATTGTTAGCACTCGGGAGTCAAAGAGTTGTGGCTTTAAGCCCCACTTTGGGACTTATGAGCTGACATTCAAGCCCAGTACTCGAGAAGAGAGCTGCATTCTCAGAGGTGCCAGAAGTCTGATGAGATGTTAAACAGAGATCCCATCTGCCTGTTCAAGTAGATGTTAAAGATCTCAAGACGCTATTGGAAAAGAGAAGGGAGTTTCTCCCAGTGTTCTGGCCAACAATTCAACAGGATAAATTGGTCATTCATTTCAAGATTGTTTTGGGGGCATTGCTGTGCGCAAATTATACAATTACCCGTGAAGTGCTTTGTGGATGCTGCAAATGCTACGTTAAACACAAAAGGTTATTTTGTTATTATACTTGGGGAAAATATCTGTGTGATATCACTGCATCCTTTCAATGTGCATGAGCTGCGGCTGAATATTTCATGCAGTTATTTACTTCTCACCTGTTCCTATGTAAAGTGTCCTGTAGCACATATTAACAGCTTGGCCTTTTCCCGTAAGGGGATAAAACACTGCCCGTGCTTGAACCTCGGTCACCGGAGCTGGAGAATAAAAAGGGGGGGAAATAAAGGCATCGTTCACAGTGTATCAGAAAGCCCGTGCACTGACCATAAGTCTCAATGTAGGTCCCAAGTTGTAATGTTAAAACAATTAAAAAAATGCACGCATCACACTTGTTATCCTACTAAGGGCAAGCACAATTCAATTGGTTTGTAATCGGTTCAATGATGAGGATATTTTATCCCGCTCGCGTGTGTGCGGCGCTTCTCTAACAAACTGCCTCACCTTCAGGCTGCGTTGTAGCAGCAGTCGTTTGGGTTTTTGAGGTGCTGAGTGCAGACGGTAGAGAGGGCGCTTTGGGGGGAAACAGTTGCTGAATTCTCTGCCAAGCCAGTAACTGGATCAACTTCTCATCGAGCTTATTCAATTCAATCTCTGTGCAAGAAAAAGAGAAAAAAAAAGACATCAATTTCAAGTTTTTCTGATAACAGCTCACACTCGAAAGATCATTATACGAAAATGTCAGGGAGGAGAGAGCATAAAACTATTTTTTCCCCAAACAACATGCATTTATATAGCGCACGGTATATGCACGGTAGCGTCCCAGAGAGCTTGACAGTGGTGGAGTCCGACAAACACTAACTAACAGGGAGAGAGTTCACATTCCATTTCAATAAATTATCTCGAGGCGGGATGCATGGAACTCTGGCGTGGATATTCTGAAGCACGGTTATGGGTTTCCGCAAGTGTCGGACAACTGCCCAATGGGAAAAAGTGCTTTTCACACAGTTCCAATATCTACAAGCAACTCTTTCAAATTCTGTAAACTCAGATCACGATATCTCAATCAAGCTTTAAATACCTTGATTTTTTTTACAAGGCAGCATTAAATACCTGGCAAATTCACTGGCTAAAATTACAAAATTAAAGTAGGCGACAGAATATGCTTGTCATCCTCCACCGTTGGATAAAAGACAAGAGGAGGAAGAAGTGAATATTGCTCCCATCATTTTAACTGCTCACTCGGAAGCCAGATAAAACATTTCAATGCGTCAATTGTCTCTTGATGGGGCATCTTACTGAACACAATGCGATTTTCAATACTATCGATTTGTCAGCTGTCAAATGAGGTTTGATATGTATTCGTGGATGAATTTAGTTTACAGGCTGGTCTTGTCCTGAAGGCATGGGGAGAAAAAAAAGAACACAAACGCTGGCCCCAGACTCTAGTCACCAACAGAGCGCCCCATCTGTGCCGCGGACAAACCGAAGGAAACTCACTCACTCACGACATCACTGCAAACGCCTTTCACCAGCCACACAGAGAGGCACGAAGCAGCCTTACAAGCGAAGGGTTTGGGGTGGGGGGAAAAAACCCAAATAAATCTGGAGGCGCCAAACTGTGTGTACTAGTAACCGCACGAAGGTAAAATCCTGATGCTACTTTTGCAGCCAAATTCAACTTGCTCTCAGGAATAAACTAATGCATGTGGCATAAACTGTTCCTTTGGCAGAACGACAAGATAAATTCACGGGTACAATTTTTGAATCCACCTACCCCCGCCACCTTCCATAGCTGCCTGCAGAGAGTTAGCAAGGTCCAACATAACCAAAGTGTTTGACGGAGAAGTTAATGGAACTGCTGGTTTGCTTCCCATGGACACTCCTGTGGACAGCCCGGTTGGATTCACTTTACTTTCTACGGGAGAAACAATTGCACGTTATAGAAAGGATAACGTTACAGACATAACTAGAGCAAATCTTAGGATCCTAATCTGAAACTCACATAGTGCTGCCAATGCCTGCAGAGAACCAAGCTGCTCAAAGCTGTAGCTCTTCATTCCTCGAAAGATTTCACTAGCATGTAGCACAAAGCTTCAAAAATGCTGCCTATTCAAACCATTTGCTGAAGAGAATAGACACCT